AATGTGGCTGAAGAGGTCCTATCACAAATCCCACAGCAACAAATCAGGGCTGACCCTGCAGCACTGCCTAGTTTGGAGGAAGTCAGCAAAGTCACCAGCCAATAAAAATAACAAAGCCAGCAGACTTTCTTTGAAATTTTTAAAGAGAGAGAGAGTCTGAGCTGACAGAAGAACTCCATCAGCTCATTGAAAAAGTGTGGATGACCGAGAAGGTCCCAAAGGACTTCAAGGATGCCACTATCATCAACCCTTTTCAAAAAGGGGGAAAAACAGACTGTGGAAACTATCAAGATATCTCCCTTTTAACCTCCACTGGTAAAATCCTTGCTTCTACCCATCTCAGAAGACATCCTCCCTGAGAATGGCTTCTGCCTCTCCAGAGGAACAGCGGATATGATCTTCACTCATGACAGCTCCAAGAAAAATGCAGGGAATAAAATCAGCTTCTGTACATGGCATTCATTGATCTTGCAAAGGCATTTGGCACAGAGAATTGCAAAGCTCTCTGGACCATCTTCTTAAAAATCAGATGCCCTGCTAGATTTGTGAATATCCTACAGCTCCTCCATGATGACATGACAGCAACAGTCTTGGACAGCAATGGCTCCCAAAGTGACTCATCTGAGGTGGAATCAAGTATCAAATAGGGATGTGTTATTTCCCCAACCTTATTTTCCATTTTCATAGCTATGATTCTGGGAAGCTTCCCACTGGTGTGGAAATTACCTATTGGACAGAGGACAAACTATTTAACCTCAGCAAACTGAAAGACAAAACCAAGGCAATAACAATGTCTGTTATAGAACTCCAATATGCTGATAATAATGTAGCATTCAGAAGAAGACCTACAAGCCACTTTAAACACTTGCAGAAGCATACAAAAAACTTGGCCTTTCACTGAACATCAAGAAAACTAAAATGGTCTGCCAGCAGGCACCAGCCAATATCTCCACAATGCGAGAAATTGAGCTTAATGGAATAACATTACTAAATGTTGACCATTTCCGCTACCTTAGTAGCCACCTCTCCAAAAAAGTCAACATTGACATAGAAATACAATACCATCAGAACTCTGTGAGTGCAACATTTTTTCAGCTGAAGCAGAGAGGGATTTGAACATTCATAGGGATATAAAGATGCTTGTTTATAATGCTATTGTCCTTCCAACTCTGTTATATGCCTGTGAAATGTGGACTGTCTACAAACGTCACTTGCAACTTCTGGAACAATCCCATCAGTGTTGCTTCTGAAAAATCCTACAAATCTCTTGGGAAGACAGGTGGACAAATGTCAGCACTCTGGAAGAAGCAAAGACCACCAGGATTGAAGCAATGATCCTCTGCCACCAACTCTGCTGGACTGGCCATGTTGTTCAAGTGCCCAATCACCCTCTCCCAAAACAGTTACTCTACTCTCAGTCAAGAATGGAAAACAGAATGTTGGTGGACAGATTTAAAAATGGGCTTAAAGCTAACCTTAAAAACTGGCATAGACACTGAGCCCTGGAACCTAGAGCGTTCTAACTCAAGGTCAGCTGTTACCAGCTGTGGAATTTTAAGAGGCAGGAATGGAGGGTGAAAGGGAGAAAGGTGTCAAGAGGAAGGCATCTCAAGTCAACTCTTGTCAAGACCATCTTCCATCTGGAAATCGATGCCCTCACTATGAAAGAACAGGTGGATGCCAAAAACATGCCAATTTAAATCTGCAATCTAAAACATGTATCACAAGAAAGTTCCAAACATAAACATGTACAGGACTTGACTGTGTATTATGCACATTGATCTGTATAATTTTTTTCTTTTCTTTTTTTCTTTTATAGAATATTGTGGATGAATTCATATTAAACAGAAAGAAAACCATTCTTTTTGAGAATGTGAAAAAAATCGTACTTCTGGACTATGTAGATGCTTTCCTAGAACTCTTAAGGCAATTAAACTATTAGCAGAGATTACCTTTAATGCCTCTTCAAATGTTCTTGGCCCACTAGAATACTTTCCTAGTTTTTTATGGCTTTTGAAGTATCAGAAGATATTGCTTCTCATTTCTCCTTAAATGTTGCTTGGTATCACTTTTATTTAATTAGGGTTGGCTCCTAACTCTGAATATAACTACTATTGAAATTAATTGCAACATACTTCCAGCCAACTAAGATGTACTGTAGCATGTATTTTATTTGTTTGTTTGTTTATTTCTTTATTTCAGGCTTTTATATCCCGTCCTCCGCAGAGGGACTCGGGATGGCTGACAAATCTTGTACACCTACAATTACTTATTTACACCTATATCTTGCACACCTACAATTACTTATTTACACCTATATCTTGCGCACCTACAATTACTTATTTACCACTGTAATGCCCTTTAGAATTGTTTTCATTTTGATCAAACTCAAAATGAGCATCCCTGAAATCTGAATTGTGTTCAGAAAGAAAGCACTACGCTTACGCTTTTGGTAAATATGAGAATACAGGGATTTGGTACAAAATGTAGGACTCAGTTACTGAACATAAAACCCATGCATCTGCGTTTAACCAAAAGCAACTGCAAACCCTTAAACCTGCACACAATAACATATGATGAGGAGTATTTGTTCCAGTTGTTGTACCAAATTTTAACCTACATATGAGCAGAGTAACATATATGGCTGAACAGTCACATTTATTTAATTCTTAGCTAATAAAAGTCAGTTAAAATAGACACACTTAGATCTTTCATTTCCTAATTATTTTTAACAACACTTAGCGTAATAGAATCATATAGCTGGAAGAGAACACCAGGACCATCCAGTACAACCCCCCATCAGGCTACACAGAAGCACCCAATCAAAGCATTCCTGACTAATGGCCATTCGGTCTCTATTTAAAAACTTCCAAAGAAGGAGACCCCATCACACTCTTGGGCAGTGTGTTCTACTGCTGACCAGCTCTTATTGTCAAGAAGTTCTTTCTAATGTTCAGGTGGAATCTCCTTACTTATAATTTGAACTCATTGCTCTGAGTCCTAGGACCGCTGGGACCTTGCTGTTTTGCCAGCAGTCCCTGGAGAAATGGCAGGAGTGTGGGGCGCCTCATGGTGTCCTGTGTACTCTCCCTCCTTCCCCCATTACATGGTGAGGGCAGCACAAGGCACATTGGCACTCTATCCCCATCATATGGGGGAAGGGCATATAATAATAGTATAATAATAGTAATAATAATAATAATAATAATAATAATACTTTATTTATAACCCACCCACTCTCCCCAAAGGGACTCAGGATGGTTTCCAAAAGATAACAAAAATAGCAAACATTCAATGCCCAAGAACAGTCAAACAACAATCACGGCAAAACATGAAATAAAATTAACTCAATATAACTTATAAAATAACCAAAATTGAGGATTAAACTAAATAAACACAAGGAGGCAAACCAAGTAAAACACCATGCATTAAAAATGTAATATAATATATGACATTTGCAGGCTGATGTAAGTACCCGATGTCAAGGCGAGGATGTATGTAAAGTATGCTACTTTGGTTAGATTCCTGGGAGCTACCCAAAACACACTTTCCTCTCTGTGGTGGCAAAGGAGATGTCTTGTGATGCTCCCCCTCCACCTCAGGAGGAATGGGGGCAGGCCAAGCCAGAGTAGTCTGATGGCACTTTGCAGACCACATCCCGAAGAGGGAAAAGGGGCCATGAAAAGGTCCCTAGCCTCCAGGACCGCAGAAAACAAGCTTACTCTCTCTTCCTTATAGCATCCTTTCAAATATTTAAACATGGCTCTCATGTCTCCTCTCAACCTTATCTTCTGCATTCTAAACATTACCAGCTCGTGAAGCCACTCTTCACAAAGCATGGTTTCAAGACTTTTCATCATTTTAGTTGCCCTCTTGTGGACACATTCCAGTTTGTCAATGTCCCTCTTGAACTGTGGTGCCAAGAATTGGACACAGTATTCCAGGTGACCTCTGGCCAAAGCAGAATAGAGACAAATGAAAAACCATTATCTACTTAAAGACCTCCAGAGAAGGAGGCCCCACTACTTTCCAAGGCAGTATATTCCACTGCTGAACAGCTCTTACAGTAAGGAAGTTATTCCTAATGTTTCAGTGGAATATCTTTTTCTGGATCATTGATAAAACTATGCAATACTTCCGCATATGTACTTTACACGTTAAAAGGCATGTGATGGAATGAAAACATTATGCTTCTAAGCATAACTATCTCAGAAGGACCGTACTTGATTAAACCAAGAGCCTATCCTATCCCTATTCTGTTCTCAATCTGGTCAACTGGATGGGAAGCATACTACTACTATTACTTCCATTTATTTATATCCAACTTTTATCTCTTGGTCAAGACACAAAGCATCTCATAGCAGTAAATGAAAATGCAGTTTAAAAATCCATAGCATACAATGATTAAAATAGAATTATACATATATGTCAATTAAAATAATTTAAAACACTTACAGATACATGCATCCTTCTTTCCCCCACATTTTCATGTGTTATAACAGAGCCCCTGGTGACACAATGGGTTAAACCATTGTGCCAGCAGGACTGAAGACCAACAGATTGGAGGTTCGAATCTGGAGAGAGTGCGGATGAGCTCCCTCTGTCAGCGCCAGCTCCCCATGTGGGGACTTGAGAGAAGCCTCTCACAAGGATGGTAAAAATATCAAACATCCAGCCATCCCTTGGGCAACGTCCTTGCAGACAATCAATTTTCTCACACCAGAAGCAACTTGCAGTTTCTCAAGTTGCTCCTGACACACACACACACAAAATGTGTTATAGCCTGAAACTGAAATTGATTTTATTGTCATTGCTACTAGTTAATATACACAAGATAGTAAACACTGTACCAAATAATGTTCTTGTGGTACAACAGTTAATTCAGCTGGTACTTGTTGCTTACATGCAGTAATTATTAAACTCCTGAGTCAATATTTTTTAGAAGCACCTTTGACAGCAAACACCAGGGACCCTGTCGAAGTACAGCTGCACAGTAAGATCACAGGAAAGAAATGAAGAGAATAAAACCTTGTCTGCTCTTGAAAGTAAAACCTCTAATATTCGATTCTTTTTCACCCGCTCCCTGTTGTGCCCTCTTGGCCTGAGTCCATTCCTCAAGAAGAAAAGAATAACAGTTAAACATAACATTGTCTACCACATGCTACCAAATCCTAAATTTTGCTGCCTAGGCAAAAGCTTTGAAAGACAGGACCAACTAAACAGGTATGGCTGAACAAACAAAATTTATTAAAGTAAGTGGACAAAAAGCATATTCTTATAAATTTGATTATAGGACCCCATTTTTGGCTTCAACAGATTACCTCAGCTATGTTCCACATCTAGATATATTTATATACTGTGTATATATCCTTTCTAGTCTAGGGGTGGGAAAATTTGCCATTCATGACTGTTTTTGTTTTGGTCTCTTGAGTCTGAGCTTAAAAATGTCTCCAAATGCCTAGCTGTATGGCAAGAGTTGGATTAGATGGTACTTGTGCTTTTTTCCACACCCACAATTCTGTGATTCTATGAACTATAATTCAGTAATCAGCACTTTGTCATTTTTTTCATATCTGCACTATTAGGTCAAAGTAATGGATATTCAAATTGATTGTATTTATTTCTTCTTATATCATTATCTCAAGATGGACCAAATGAGCAACATTTTAAGCTCTTCAAAACATTTTTTGCTAGAATTAATTTTGTGAGATGTGGGATTTTGGAGAGTTAGGAGGTCACAATGACAGCCCAGCCCAATTAAAATTAATTAAAATAACCTAAACCTATATATACAGTGGACCCTTCATATCTGTTGCTGTTTGTTTCCAAGACTTAAATGCTATTGCCAGTACTTTGAAGTCAAATGCAAAATGGTTTAGCATCAGTTAAGCAATATAACATGCATATTATTCCTATAAGTGGTTCTACTCACCAGTCTAGCTGCTGCAGTTACCAATCTTTCTCAATTCTATGAGTTATCTTCAAGGGCAGCCCCAAACAGATAGCATTGTAGTAGTCTAACTGGGAGATCCAATGAAAATGAACTATGGTATGACTCCCACATCTACGGGGAATACATTCCTGAATTATAAATGTGAATCAGTGGATAATGGCAGACCCAATTGAAATGAAAGAATACCAAGCATAGACTAACACTGGAGGGCTTAGAAAATCCCTAGAAAAGAATATATTTGCCATATATTAATAAATAAAACCATGGATACCCAGTGTTGTAGATATGGGGATCATATTGTATTATGGTCAGGTTATCCTTGTTCATGAAAGGTCAAAGATGGTCAATCGCAGACTTCACTTGGGCATTTAGTGATCGAGATGAATCTAGGGAAATAATCATTTTTTTTGTATTTTGAAGAGGAGCTCACCTGCAACAGTCAGGGCACTTAAGTTTCTGCAATCAGGAACCACCAGTCTGAAGTCCCTATCTTATTCAAAGTGCTGGCTTTAGCCTATAAAGCCCTAAATGGTTCCGGTCCGGCTTACCTATCCAAACGTATCTCTCCTTATGAACCCTCTAGGACGTTAAGATCTTCTGGGGAGGCCCTGATCTCACTCCTGCCTTCTTCACAGATGCGTTTGGCTGGGAAGAGAGGCAGGGCCTTCTCAGCGGTGGCCCCTCGACTGTGGAATGCTCTGCCTAGAGATATCAGCTCCCTCCCTCCTAACTTTTTGAAAGAAGATGAAAACCTGGCTTTTTGAGCAGGCCTTCCCAAATACAGCATAGCTAAACGGAATTATGGAACTACTCGACAACACAATGGAATAATGGTTTGACATGGAGATGCTCATGACAATGTTTTAAGGTTTTGTACAGTTTTTATATTTTTATACGATTTGTTTTTGTTTTTAATAGAATTTCTTGATTCTTTTACTGTTTAATTGCTATGGCATCGAATTGTTGCCAATTTGTGAACCGCTCACCTCTGGGCTGAGAGGGGTGGTATATAAATATAGTAAATAAATAAATAGATATTGTTTCAGCTTCAGCTTCAGCTTATTGACCCTCATCTTTCCTGTTACTATATGAGGCACTGGGTCCAGGATCTTTATAGTCTTAGCTAATTCTAATAATAACGAGAAATAGATTTGAGTTTATCCCCAAATTCCCAATGACCTCACCCAGAGGCTTCATAGAGATATTAAACAGTCTGAGAGATAGAATGGGATTCTGTGGCATCACACAGCTTTATATTCAAATTAAATGAGGTAGTGATTGTTCCTTCTTATCGATCAGGGATCCAAAACAGCTCTGCTAATTATGGATTTGAATTCCATAAGTAGTATGACAAATACTTCACTTGACTAATATCTTAATCATGGAGATTCTATTCAGACCTTTCAAGTCTGACTAAAAGCGCCCTTCACAGCATCTCACTTGACTGACTATATGACAATGTGCATAGATGTAAGCAAACCCACGCCTTCCAGATTCCTTCTGAAGCAACTATGTTAGGATTTCAGGTGAACTGCTGGAAAACACAACACAGTGTGTAGCAAATGACAATACTGATCTTTAAAGCATGATTCTGGATTGTTAAATGTTTTCTATCTGTAAGAGAATAGTCCTGGATTTTCAATCTCTCTTGATATTCTGTAATTGCCCTGATGTAATGTTGGTTCATTCTTTAGGCTATTGAAGGTCCTCTGCACTTCACTCTGAACTTGTGTTCACTTCATTTGTGTTAGAAAATCATTTTACTATCATGAATATTTAAGAATACTTGTGAATAAACATTGCAGGATTTCTATTGCATGTTTACAGAAATATTGTTCTTTTGTCCTGAAATCAGTTTTTTTTGTTGCCTCTGAATTCTGTAAGCAACTTGCTTTTGACTGATAGCCAAATCACTCCTAAAATCAAGTGAAGATATATTATTACTGTAGATTACAATTTGTATATAGAGCGTACAGAGATGGCCCTAGGTAATCTTCAACGGTAAGCAAACAGTATTCCCCCCCCCAACCAATCATTGATATATATTTTCTGTTCATGGTGTGCCATATTTGGTTCAATTCCATCATTGGTGGAGTTCAGAATGCTCTTTGATTGTAGGTGAACTATACCTCCCAGTAACTACAACTCGCATATGTCAAGTCTGTTTTCCCCCAAGAGCGCCTCAAGAGCACCCCTGGGCAAAATCAACTATACTGCAAATGCTTACTTTGCATAATGGGTTGAGCCGCCCCTGAGAGCATAATATAATGATAAATGTTCACACTGATCTCCCGAGAAAAATCCAATTACCCAGCAGTTCAGATCCCTTTTTTCGTTGTCATCTTCTCACCCTCCTCCTCACACCAGGTGTTATGTTTCATCTTTTCTTAATTTTTGTTCAAGTGATAATATTTCATTATTTGATCAATTCACAACATTATTGTGTTTAGGTCCACTTGTGCGGGTGATGGTGGTAATGGAACCTGTGTGCCCATCTTCTCCAGATTTTGGGATCTCCTCAAGGCATTCTTGAGGTGAAAATCTTCAAACGATGTGGGTAAAGTATGGTCTTCTATTTTATAATGTCATTTCCAAGAAGTATTTTGGTTGCTATGAAACTCAAAGCTGAAGTGTTTTCCTACACCCTCAGGTGAATGTAGTCCAGGGAGAGTCCCAACTCTCTTGTCCATTCTGCTATAAAGACTTACATCCGTGTGGGGTCCTATATGCTGCCATGATACAGTTTAACTTTCTAAAGTCTAGATGGGTGGTGATTCATTTGTTGACAGGCTGGTTGGCCAGTGCACAGGCTTATTTCCTATTCCACCTCAAGACATGCAATTCATACATTTGTAGCCTTTTATTCTCCCACAATGTTTCTTGTCTGTTATACCTCTTTTACATTCCACTGAACTACCTTCCAATTATATATTGGCCTTTTCCACCCAAACAAGAATGTTGTAGAAATCAGAAAGATGTCAAAATCTGAAAGTAAGAAGTATGCAAACCTCATATTTTTAAAACAAAAAAAGCCTTTAGGATACCACATGATGATTTTTAGAAAAGTTGGGAGGAGAACTATAAAATGTCTGTATTAGGTTCCTTGTTTTTTCCCTCTTGTTGATTCTATCAGATCAGCAACAAATTATCTAGATACCAAGCTATAATTAGGATCGTCTTTCATCTGTTTATTTTCCACCAGTGACATTTTCAAATGAGCCTTCAGGAAGTGTTTGGTTGAATGAGCATACTGGCAGGATTTTGAAACTTATGCACTTGCTGCTAGCAATGCAGCCTTTCCTTACTAAAATGTCAATAAGCCAGACATCAGATGTCATCTTAAATCACTTCTACAAGCCTATTCCTTTTATATTAGATCATATTAAACAGGAAAAAGAATTTTGTATATGCATGCATTATAATACAGACCAAATATCCCTTATCTCAAAGGCTTGGAACCAAAATGTTTTGGAGTTTTTCCAGATTTTGGAATATTTGAATATACACAATATACACAATATGATCCTTTGGAGATGGGACCCAAGTCTAAACATGAAATTCACATATGATTCATACATATATTGAGCCTATATGTAATTTTATAACACTATGTTTTTTAATACTTTTGAGCATGAAATGAAGTTGATGTACACTGAATTATCAGAAAGCAAAGGTGTCAGTTTCTCATTTAACCAAGTGGACAATTTTGGATTTGGGAGCATTTCGAATTTCAGATTTCTTGATAAGGGATACTCAATCTGCATAAGCATTTATTAACTTTGCTGAAAGGATTTGGCTATTCTTTTCTAGTTATCAGACAGGATTTGGGAATTGAGAGCTTGTCACCTTTAGGCAATGCAGGACTCTTAAAAGCAAATATATGATCTATCTATCTATATCTATCTATCTATCTATCTATCTATCTATCTATCTATCTATCTATCTATCTATCTATCTGTCTGTAGAGAAACATAGGAAGAAATGTTCTCTGAACATACCAGATGCTAGCTTCAATCTGATACTGTTGGACAATGTTTTCTAATACTTACAAAGAACTTTTAACTTCAGTCTACTTTAGGGTTACTAGATCCCTAGAGAATTAGTTGAAATTTCAGGGCGATGCTACAGCAGTTGTTATGTTGGGGAAGCTAATCTTCAGACAAGTGGCTCAGGAAGGCATTCTGTGTGTGTGTGTGTGTGTGTGTGTTGGATAGCTCTACTGACCTGGTAACCACGTCTTCCTTTTCTCAGTTAGTGCTGAGGCTCAGTGGCTCAGTACTACAATGTTTGTATGTGTTCTCCACTTGCTTATAAGCAAGCATGTATCACCGATTACATTGCTTTTTCTTTAAGGTATTCATGCTACCTAAAATATATGAGGTTGTTAAAAGCGTTTTTCTCATCTTCAACTATTTCAACATTTCTCAACCTGGGGTTGGAACCCCTGGAGTGGTCACGAGGAGGTTTCAAAGGGGCCGCCAAAGACCATCAGATACATATCAGAACCACTTTGGCAGAGAACGCTGAAGATCTCTCCGCCTGTTCTTTTCTTCCTTTTTGAACTACAACTCCAAAACTCAAGGTCAATGCCCACCAAACCCTTCCAGTATTTTCTGTTGGTCAAGGGAGTTCTTTGTGCCCAGTTTGGTTCAATTCCATTGTTGGTGGAGTTCAAAATGTTCTTTGATTGTAGGTGAGCGATAAATCCCAACAACTACAATTCCCAAATGACAAAATCAATCCTTCCCAACCCCACCAGTATTCAAATTTAGATTTATTGGGTATTTTTGTCAAATTTGGTCCAGTGAATGAAAATACATCCTGCTATCAGATATTTACATTACGATTCATAACAGTAGCAAAAACTTCAGGAGAGAATGCTTCTAGAACATGGCCATACAGCCTGAAGAACCTACAACAATCCAGTAGCAAAATTACAGTTATCAAGTAGCAACAAAACTAATTTTATGGTTGGGGGTCACCACAACAGGAGGAACTGAATTAAAGGGTTGCGGCAATAAGAAGGTTGCAAAACACTGCACTATTTGATTCAGCAAAGGGCTCAGTCTGCTGTTGGCTTCTCATGAACCTTACCAAAAATGTGAGAGCAGGAGATCACAAGATTGCAAGAAACAGTTTATTGTAGTGTCACCAAATATTCAGGCTTACCCCTGAGTCTCAGGACCTTGACATTTCTCTCTGTTCTTCTAGGCAAGATGAAGAAATGTTGGGGCAAGAGAACCAGCTTGAAAACTGTGAGTCTACGTGCCTATTTTTGTATTTTCCTCTGCAACTGTGGCCGATACTTAAGATATCATGTTTAATAACATCAGTATGGCTAACTCATGATTTCCTAAGACATACTAATATGAACAATTAAGAAGGAAAGATGCATTAAAGCATGCATGCATACACACAATAAATATTTATTTTTATTCCTATAGAACACTTAACTACTGCATGTCTTGTTTCATATTAGCAAATTGAGAAATTATATTGATCCCTTCATTCTTTTTCTCAATTGTTGGCTGTTATTGAAAACAAAGATAATCAGACCCCAAAGTATCTGTCTCATCTACTCCCACTACACTTTCAACAAATGCCAGCTGTCTCTTGGATGGTTGGTATTTTTGCCTTCCTGCAACCAACAGATTGTGTATCTGCAAAAACAGCTGTGTAGAATGCTTAGCATGCTATTTATTGTGCTGCCCATTGTATGCCTGTCAAAGAAAGCACTTGTTGTCATATTTTGTGACACAATATAATGGTTGGCCAATTCAAAATATAATAACCTATCTTTTATCTGATGAGCAGGAACATCTTATCATGTTGTACTGTTTGAGATAGCAGAGAACAAAATTAGAATGCAAACTTGAATCAGCCAGGACCAGATCAGGGATTGCTTTAAAAGTATAAAACCTAATTTTAAAAAACTGGAATTACTAAAAGCTTCTTCTAGGGCTATCAGATATTCATACATGTTATGTTTTCCAGCGGTGTGTAATTCCTATTAATGTACACATTCCAACTTGAAACAGAACTTTTAGAGATGGAGATTTATTGTCCTCCCAAAGTCTTAAAAGTTGTTTAACAGAACAGATAACGCCCCTTTAAAGGCTATGCTGTTGTTCTTGCACAATTGGAATAAATATTTTATTGTAGCACAAATGCTAATGTTAATACACTCCCTATTTTATTTACTGTAGATAAATAACTTTAGTCTGCACATTGGACAAACAGTAGATTGTATCAACTGCTTGATTCCAAGAGGAAGCAGATATAATAATAATAATAATTATTATTATTATTATTATTATTATTATTTATATTCCAACCTTTCTCCCAGTCATTTTCCACTTTGTGAGGTCTTCTTGTATTCAGAAAGAGCCTGTCTTACAGGAGGAACAGCCTTCCTCATTTTCTTTATCTTTGCTCACCAGTGATCCACATTTTACTGCACATGTGACATTGATTACCCCAGCCTCTCCATCAGAAGCACAATCCTCTCCACCCACATACAAGGAGAGATGCCCAACGGAGACTGCCCCTGCTCCCTCTGATGTATGACACCCAGATGATCAGCATAAGGTCACCTTTCTAACATGGAATATGGCTGGGTGGCTTGCATCCACCAGAGACCCTTGCTTCACAGACTTTCTCACCATGAAATTATTATTATTATTATTAAACTTTATTTGTACCCCACTAGCATCTCCCGAAGGACTCGATGCGGCTTACATAGTCCAAGGCCTCAAAACACAACGCAACAATACAACACCTAAAGCAAATTAAAAACAGTTAAGCAAAATTAACAACAAGCAATAAACAGTACATCAAGACACTATAAAACTGGGCCGGGCCAGAGTAATGGGTACAAGATTAAAAGTGCTGATTTGGCAGGAGGTATGTAGGATTATAAGGTAAGTGCAATGTGCGGTGTGCAGCAATCTTAGTTCTACTAAAGTGCTTCTGGGACTTGGTATTGGAGATTCCTAATCTGGGAAGGCACATTGGAACAGCCAGGTCATATTGATTCAGGAATCATGGTCTGTGCATGAATTGATAGTTAATGGTTTTCACTCATACTCAGTAGTAACAGAGCCAGAGGCTAAAAATGGAAGAGCCAAAGGTGGATTAGGGATCCTAGTCTCCATCACTCTACGTGCCATAACAAGGCACCTCCCCCCTCTAAAAACAAGTGCCATGGCACTTCTAAATCAATTCAAGTACCACACTCTGCTGATAATAAATGTCTGCATGCCCCCAACGAGACAGATAGCCCAAATCAGAGCCCTGTGGTCAAAACTGGTAAATTAACCTTATAGGACAGAACAGACATGTATCTGTAATTATGGGAGGGAACCTCAATGCAAGAACAGGACCTGATGATGCCAATCTCTACAAATGTCACAAACGCCTTCCTCCTCATCCTGAATAAGTTGTACCTCTCCTAACCTGTTACTCCAAAGACCAGAAATCAAACTTTGCAGGTTTATGTTTGGCTCAAACAACCTCAAGACTGAACCTCTATATTCTAAATGGTGCCCTGGAAGGTGACCATCCAGCTGAATTTACCTATCTCTCTGTCTCCAAAATGAGCACTATATAGCCATCTCGAGGGACCTTCTCCCACATTCCAAAACCCTAGAAGTCAAGCCTAAATTTGATAGTGATCACTTTCCTATCCTCCTCCACTTAAACTCTTTCACTCAAGAAACCCACACAGTGGATTGCTATCAACCCTTCCAACTGCCAGCAGGAAGAACCCATTGTAGAGCCAGATGGACCCCATGTCTAAACCGAAAAGTAACTGAGCTCCTGGACACAGAACAGCTAATGAGCCTACAGACTGGCCTGGCATTGGCCACAACCCTTAACGCACTCTGAAGAACTACACCAACATCACTCAAGAGCTTCAGAAGTACTTAAGGCACAATGACACTGCACCCCAGAAGCATCAACAATACTCCAATCACTGGTTTAACAAGAATATATCAATGCCAAAAAGCTCTTGCCACTACCCATCAGACTTTTATATCAATACTACATCAACAGCTGTGCAAGATTTCCTCCAACAAAAGAGATGCTACAAGCAACTGCTTCCCAGAAAAAAAAGGAAGCCATGAAAAACAATGCAGCCAAATCCAAAGACTCAGATACCTTCTAGCATATCACATCAAATGCTCAAAGATGTGACCAACCCAGAGTGGACTCTCATATTCCCCCAGAGATTTGGGAGGCATACTTTCAGGAACTTTATGTGGACACATCTGCTGGAAGTGACCACCCCAGCCTTGTCATAGAAAAACTTCCACTGTGGCCACCAATAACAGCAACAGAGATCAAGAACCTTGTTGTTTAACTAAGACTAAAAAATTCCACAGGAGAAGATCTTATCCCAACGGAGGCCATCAAGAACAATCTGGATTTCTGGACCCCCATCCTAGCCTCACTTTTCACATGCATGGACAACTATGGCCAAATCCCCAAGAATGGAGGGTTTGCAATCATTTTCCCCATCTACAAAAAGAAAGGGAAAAAGGACAACCCTGCAAACTACAGACCGTTCAGCCTCCCCAATATTATCAGTAAGTTATATGCAAGACATCTTCATTGGAAACTTCAGGGCTGGCTGGAACAAGAAAGCATACTTGCTGAGGAGCAAGCTGAATTCAGGGAAGGTCGATCCACCATAGACCAATGTCTGGTACTACAATATCTTGTTGAAAAATATTCCTCCCAAAATACATCCTCACTCTTTGTCACCTTCATAGACTTCAAAGCAGCCTTTGATTCCATCTCCCGAGTTAAACTATGGAAAAAAATGGAGAGCTTTACAATTGACTGACAACTTTTTCACCTAATCTGCCTACTCCATCTTGCTGAAAATAAGATGTAACCCTCAGGGGCACTTTACTGAGGCAGTTGAAATGGAAAAAGGTTTCAATCAAGGCTACATCCTGGCCCCTCTACTATTTAACTTCTACATCAACTCCATGGTGGATCATTATCACGACATGGATTTCCATCCCCCCAAAAAACTTGTAGAAAGACATGTTTCCACCTTATTTTATGCAAATGATGCAGCTGTACTTTCAAGACCACTCATTGGCCTTAAAAGAGCACTAACACACTACTCCAAAGCAAATCAGCTCCAACTTGATGATAAGAAACCCAAAATCATGGCATTTGCCAAAAGATCCAAGAGTCAAGACTGGAGCATATATGGACATAAAATTGAACAAGTCTCATGTTTCAAATATCTGACAGTATTCCTCCAATCCAACAGTAGCAGCCCATTGAGCCCATGTGGCCGAGTCTGTGCAAAGGAGCTCATTAGCCATTCTAAAATACTTCAAGTCAAGAGGAAGCCACCTGCATACCTGCAGCCCTCAAATTCTTTGAAGCCAAACCAGTGGCACGACTCCTTTATAGAGTCCAGCCAGGCCCCTTCTCCAATTTTGTTCCGCATGAGCTTGTACAATCAAAATGTTTGAGATTGGCCCCGCAAATACCAAAATACATCTCCAATGCCATTCTGCAACTGGAGACAGGCTTCATGAAAGTAGAGGCCAGAGTGTGGGTGGTCATACTGTACTACTGGCTTAGAATATCCCGCAATCCCTCTGATCTTGCCCCACTAACCATGAAAGATGACTTCCAGTCCACATAAATACAGGTAGTAGGAATGGAAATCTCATCACTGGGCTTCCCTCCAGGGTTGCTATTCAGTAGGGAGCATGATCAAGCCTAAGCACTCATCAAAAATGTATCTCAGACATAGAGCATCAATTGGATCTATCCTATACCTCAACCTTTATTGTCAATGAAACCAGCAGATATCTCGCCTCCCCTGTGGCATACTTAACAAATCTAGAGTTTCCTAATAATCGGAGGGCCTTCATTCTGGCTCGATGTCACGTCCTTTCATCAGTTGTACTTGAGGTCTGATACCCGAAGACCCCATACCAAAGAGACTCTGTCCCTGTGACTCGGGCCAAATAGGAACAACAGAGTATGTGCTCCTCCAGTATCTGTTCTACAGGTATATTTGATCCAGACTCATCCTGCCTTTGCTATATAATTACCCAGGCCATTCAGGACAATTTTATACCACCCTGCTGCTCCCAGATACCAACCCAGTTATAACCTATAATGCTGCCAAGTTTTGTGCAGCAGCACTTAAAATCTGTCAGGTGATGACTGGTCCCAAAAGTTAACAATCTAATATCATCTAACTGAAATGTAAATCAGT